GTTGTTGTTGTTGTTGTTGTTATATTTTAAATTGACAGGCAATGAAGGAGAATTGTACAACTCCAGCAGTGGAGCCAGTAGTGGCAATCTCCTTGATCTCCACTGAGCCCAGGGGCTCCTGTTGTTTATCTGTAAACGACGGTTTCTATTTGGTGCAAAACAAGGGCGACACAAGGCATAGTTTCATTATCCAAGGAAACTGATATATGTGGCCATTGGTGGCCAGGGGTGGAGAGGCTGGAGATAGGCCAGCAATGCACCCTTTAAAAAGAAGGCTCCTGAACAAGTCCAGCACATTCAGTGCGAAAGCATGCTGTACGGCATGTGCTGTATTTTACTCCTAGTCTGAGGAAAGAGATCAAGGTTTTGTTGTATTTACCAGGAAAATGTCTGGTCTTTCAGTGCTCTATGTCTCAGTATAACACGGAGTAAATAGGGTAGGCATTAACAGGGTTGGTCCCCGTGTTTCAGAGATTTTACTCTCCTCTACAGGTTTCCAGGGATGTGGTGGCTCTGAGGGTTAAACCACAGAAGCCTCTGTGCTGCAAGGTCAGAAGACCTGCAGTCATAAGATCGAATCCACATGACGGAGTGAGCTCCCGTCGCTTGTCCCAGCTCCTCACCAACCTAGCAGTTCGAAAGCATGTAAAATGCGAGTAGATAAATAGGAACCACCTTGGTGGGAAGGTAATGGTGTTCTGTGTCTAGTCACGCTGGCCACGTGACCATGGAAACTTTCTACGGACAAACGCTGGCTCTATGGCTTGGAAACGGGGATGAACACCGCACCCTCGAATTGGACACGATTGGACTAAATGTCAAGGGGAACTTTTACCTTTACCGGTTTCCAATGGAAGGAGCAAAAAGCTCAGTGTGAAGAAGGAACTCTGGGAACTATGGTGATTTTTCTGCTGGGCTTGTGTGTTTCACTGTTAGGTTCACCCTCTTTTTCTTGTCACAAACCACCAGGCACAGTCAGACATAGTCTCTAGCAGGTTCCATTCACACCAGAAGTCTCTGTATCATGATTGGTGCCCAGAGTTTCTCAGGGACTGAGTGTTGGGAGCAGTGCCTTTAAGAGTGTGCACTCACGATGATGGGAATGCAAACATTTTCGTGCTGAAAACTTCCACCATTTTAAATTTTACAAAAAAGAAATGGCCTTAGAAATGAATATCAAAGGAGGTGAAATTTCAGGAAGATTCTCAACAGTGAGATTCAAGATTTTTGTGCCCATGTCAATCAGGAGGTGACTCAAGATTGGGCGCCCTCGTCTTGCTTTCTACTATAGAGCCACTTCTATGACAGCTTCCCTCTGCTCCCACAATTCGACTGAAGTCTAGGATACAACTCCCTTAAAATAATACCTTACAAAGAGCTTTTTAAGATCAGAAAATATGAATAGCTACTGCCTCTCGAAAATAGCACAGTTGGAAAGAAAGACAAGTGCACTGCTGCGTCTTGCAGGGCACTTAAAGAAACCAAAACTTATCAGTTTCAGAGCTATTAATGATAGTACATTTTGGCAGTTACATATCAAAAGTGACTTGATGGTACATAGCATCCTTGGAGTTTTTTCTTCTTCTTCTTAATTACCAGATAATTGTATGGTGACAAGATGGGTGGAATAGGCACCAAAACTCTGTAAGACCATCCACAGCCACAAAGGAAAAGAAAAAAGAAAAAAGCAGTAACTTCACAGCTTAAATGAGTGAGCTTCTGAATATTTATTTTCTATTTTTTTTAAATTAAAAAATATTTTTATACCAGAAAGAAAAAACTTTAAAAAATATCTGTTAGTTCAGGAAGGAGTTAGAAAGTTCTCCTCCTGAGAATCATTTAATTTGGTCCTGATAGGCAAGTCCAAAAGTTCAGTGCTCTCTTCCAGGTCTCAACCTTGCGACAATGCTTATGTTTAGAATGTTCAGGATGAAAATCAGGTCATAAGAAAGTCAGAAACTTAGATATTTTTCCCCTTTGAAATCGCTTTTCTCAGATTCAGTTTATTCCCCCCACCCAAGCTTGAATTCCTTCCAAATAAAAGAAGTAGGTGGCTCTGACCTCTCTCTTTTAAGATAAGCTAGTTTATTTCTCTTCCCACCCCCCCAATGTATTTGATCCATTCTAAATCTGCAGACCGAAAAGGTTACTGATGTCTGCATGGGGTATGTTTGAAACAGTTTTACATTTAAAAAATAATAATGTAAAAACTGTTCATTTAAACATCCTTATATTTGGCACACAGCAAGAGCAACCTCTCTCCTACATCTGTGCCAAATTTGGTGCCGATTGAAGGTCCAGTTTCAAAGTTATGTGTTTTCGTTTGTGGAGCCCCATTTTTTGAGTTGCTTTATGGGATACTAAATTGGGCTGTTGCATAATATCTATTGCTGTACTCCAATGCAATAATAATACTATAAGAAATGTGGACCATCTGTCTAAAAAGGGATTCTTCTTGATATGTTTCTTATGGAATGGTGTACAGCAGGGGTCTCAATCACAATTTACCTGGGGGGCGCTGGAGGCAGAGTCTAGGTGAGGCTGGGCTGCATCAGATTTTTTTTAAAAAAACCTCACAGAATCACCTTGCCAAAGGAGAAACACCCCCATCGGTACCTGCAAAATTAAACAGAACGGGCGACCCCCACAGGTGCATGTGCACGCACACACACACACACACACACACACACACACTGGCAACCTTCCTCTGAGGGCCCCCCTAAAAAAAAAGGCGCACTCAGCAGCAGCAGCAGCTACCCCCACCACAACAGGGGAGCAAACTTTGTGAGGCGAACCCAGGCAACCTCCAGAGCCGAGGTGGCTGAAGCAGGACGAAGAGGAGGAGGAGGAAGCACCGCCGGGTGCTGAGGCAGCCGCTGACCGGGCTGGTGCTGGGTGTGCCAAGAGAGAAAGAGAGCCAGAGAGCCGCTTCCCTGGAAGAGGCAGAGGTGGCGGCAGATGCTGTTGGCGGTGCTATTGGAGGCGCTCTTTGAGGACGGGCTGGGAGCAAACTCTGCTCTCTGGCATCGCTCAGCGGTGGCTCAAGCGCTTGGGGAAAATGGCTGGCAGTGCACCTCGCTCGCCAGCTCTCCCCCAAGACAGCGCCTCTTGCACCCTCCATCCGGAATTGCAGCCTGTCAGCCAGCACACGTGTCTGCCGTCTGGCGGGCTGCAGTTCTGGATGGAGGATGCAAGAGGCACCGTCTTGGGAGAGAGCCGGCGAGTGAGGCGAGGCTTTTTTTGACTCTTGACAGCAGAGGATGTGTGGGCGCTTCAGGGGGGGCAGGCAAGGCGGGGGCCACAAACTATCATCCGGCAGGCCGCAAATGGCCCACGGGCCGCATGTTTGAGACCCCTGGTGTACAGTAAGCCATTTGGATTTACTATACTTGTTTCAGTTTCTGCATGAACTCCTCATCAGAGGTGGGGGTGGGGGAAAGAAATGTGTCCTTATTTTCTGAAATATTAAAAGGGATGAGGCTGGCAGGGCACACTACATGGCTTCTGGAATGCACTCAGCTTTGTTGGCTTCACAAGTTGTACCAAGTCTGTTTTATGGGAGTGAATTTGGCTACAAGAACTTAGATACCAAAACTAAACAGGTGGGGAAGTACTTGGAAATAATGACTGAATGGACTAAATGTGTCCCACACTAGCCTATGCCTTCCAGGTTCTCAAATGCTTGGGAGCGATCATATGTTGGACCTAACGATGGTCTCAAGTTCAGGTCTCAATGTCTCCAGCTAAAATGAGGTTAAGGGCAGAAAAAAACAACAACGTTTGATTAAAATCCTGCCAGTTGGATTAGATGGTGTTCAGGTAGACCAGGAATGTACATCATGTACATTTTTTTAAACAACAAATATTTTTAGAAAAGCAATTGTTTCGAAAGATCCTCTTCTGTTCTAAAGGATGTTGCAGGGGATGTTGGTATGTTTCGGCAGCCCCTCAGCACCCCTTTAAAATGGGCCACTGGAGAGCTCAAAAGTGGTTTTTTTCCAGGTGGAAAATAAATGTTTTTAAATATGGGGGGGGGAGTTCTGGGAACAGGTGAGACATCCCGCCCCCTTCGCCAGGTCATGGATTGGGCACGAACAGGCCCCGTTGGGCAGTGGAGATCTCTCACTGCTTGGCTAGATGGACCAATAATCCTCCGGGTCATGGATTGGGCACGAACAGGGCCCCGTTGGGCAGTGGAGATATCTCACTGCTTGGCTAGATGAACCAATAATCTTGGAGGCCAGACCTAGTATAAGATAACTTTATAAATTCCATGATTTCAGATATTTCCATTTCAGCAAGGAATGTTTTCTTAGGCCAGTTATGATTATTCTCTCTCTCTCTCTCTCTCTTTCTCTCTCTGACTCCCCCACCCTTACTCCCCCACTCTCTTTTCTTATTTGTAGAAGGATGTTTCCTGCTATGAGAGTGAAGATTACAGGGTTGGACCCCCACCAACAGTATTACATAGCCATGGACATTGTGCCTGTGGACAATAAGAGATACAGGTAAGGAATACTTGAATAGAACTATTTTGAAGGGCTCTCCTGAGAACAAGAAAGCCCCAGAAACACATTCTCCACTATTATAAAGAGAAAGGAAATTTAGTGTTGGACCAAAATGACACGAGATGTTCCAAATCCCAGCAGTTCCTTAGGAACAGGAGTGTGCCATTATTACATCTGCTGAAAATATTATACGGTATAGAAGTCTGGGGATGAATCTTTCCTCTTACATTTCTTAAACAGTCAAACACTTGAATGATGAAGAGGGGGAAGTGAGGGAGAAAATGAAGATGCTTTTGTGTTTTTAGGCAAACAGACCGTGCCTCCAACAGGGTGTAGAGGGGGATTATATAGAGTGGGTGTACTGAGCAACAGTTTAGTCAAATGCCAGTGTTGAATCAGAGTGGCTCTGAAGAGGCAGGAATGCAAACATCACAGTGCCAACCTCATCTGCTTGGTGGACATGGGGGAAAGAAGGAGAAGCAATTACAAAGGTAAATGCAGGTCAGTGAAATGCAGGGGTTCTCAGCCATCCTGCCGGAAGATGTGGCTCTTATCCCGGTCACTACATTTGGACCGTCAGCCATTGTCCAAGCAGCTTCATCCTTTTTATCTGATGCAAAAAGTATCACAAAAGGTGTGCATCTCAAGAATCCATCCGGCTTTGCATGAGATTTATAGAAGCTCCCACAACTCCACTCCAAAGTCTCTCAGAGCCATATTATTGATCTCCGATAAATGCTGCTATTGCTAGAAGTCATTTGGTGTACAAGAAGCAGCACGGACTGGACATCGCTGCACCAATAGACTGCAGGTTTGGGTTTCTCCCTATCAAAGCCCAGCACAATTCATGCTATTCCCCATAATGAGAACAGTGTCCTTTAAGAGAAAAAGGCAATGCTGTGGGCTTAGTAGAAAACCTTTCCGAGAAGCAATCACAACAAAACTGGAAAAGAAAACAGATTTACAGCCCTTCTTTCAATGCCTACTTTAGAAAAAGTCAAATGGGGGGGGGGGCAGAAAAGTATCACAAAAGGTGTGCATCTCAAGAACCCATCCGGCTTTGCATGAGATTTATAGAAGCTCCCACAACTCCACTCCAAAGTCTCTCAGAGCCATATTATTGATCTCCGATAAATGCTGCTATTGCTAGAAGTCATTTGGTGTACAAGAAGCAGCACGGACTGGACATCGCTGCACCAATAGACTGCAGGTTTGGGTTTCTCCCTATCAAAGCCCAGCACAATTCATGCTATTCCCCATAATGAGAACAGTGTCCTTTAAGAGAAAAAGGCAATGCTGTGGGCTTAGTAGAAAACCTTTCCGAGAAGCAATCACAACAAAACTGGAAAAGAAAACAGATTTACGGCCCTTCTTTCAATGTCTACTTTAGAAAAAGTCAAATGGGGGGGGTGTCTGTTACTTAATGGGAAAGGTAGCTCTTAACAAATGTGACAACAAAAGCAGAAACTAGTTTACACAACAGATCCAGGCAAACTAAGGAATAATTTGCTAATCAAATGAATGTTAATTCAGTATGGCATTAGGAAATTATGTTAGATAGACAGAGATGCAAAATTAGGGTGATTATCCACTTTGCATTGTATTTCTAGTGGCTTTGGACTAAGCTTCCTAAGAAGCATTAAGAGTAAAAAATTTTAATGGTCAAAACAGAGCATCTTGGCAAAACAGAGCAACAGGGATACAGCCTGTCAGGGAATCTCCAGCCTCTGTGAGAGATTTTAGCTCCAGCATGAACACAAGACACTGAGAAAGGTGTTTTGTTTGTTTGTTTTGTTCTTGTAGTTTTCTCAATTTGTGCGAAATGTCTGTGCAAAATGTCTTTATGCAAATCTTAGAACTCCAGGAGCTGGAAGGGACCCCTATGGACCATCAATTCCACCCCCTGTCAAGGAGGCATAGTGGGGAATCAAACTCCCAACCTCTGCCTAAATGACAGAGCTGTTCAGCAGGTAGTGTTGCCAGAGCTAGAAACACAGACAAGCATCCAGCACAGGACAGAATGATTGAGCATAAAGACCCAAACAATTCTTCCATTATTACTATAGTACTTTTTTAGTCTATGTAGCAAGACAAGAGACAAAAGTTCTACCACCCCTTCCAGAGATGTGTAAAATTTTACACAGATATCTCCCCACACCCATTCCCCTGTCTTGCACTGAGATGAAATTGTGAAACTTGATAGGTTACCACCACCGAGCAGAATAATAATATTGTCAGTAGTCAGCTCGCTACTGAAAATGCTACATGATGCTTCTCCAACCAGCCATATAAGGCATATAAGTACAGCATTTGCTTATTCTGGATAACCAAATACTGTACTTATTAGTCCATGTGGTGCTGAGGTCTTCAAAGACCGACAGGGTCTTTTCCTATCCTCAATCTTTCTTTCTTTCTTTCTTTCTTTCTTTCTTTCTTTCTTTCTTTCTTTCTTTCTTTCTTTCTTTCTTTCTATCTATCTATCTATCTATCTATCTATCTATCTATCTATCTATCTATCTATCTATCTATCTATCTATCTATCATGCTACATCCTCAGATGCTGTCCAGGACAAAATAAGAACTTATTTCTCTCAAGCTGGCCTAATGCAGCATTTTGAGCGGGCGGTAATGCCAGCAGCTATGGATTCTGGTGCTCCTTGAATCTAGTGGAGACTCGAAAGGCAGCAGCTAATATGGTGACTGAATTAAGGACTTTTAGAGAGGAAATCATGTTGTACCTTAAAACAAGACGTGCAAGGCCTCTGCAGGTGCAGAACATGTTAGAGAAGTCATCTGCAAGTAATGAAATATTCCCTAGTATATCTAAAGGCTTTCATCTGTGGATTAGTTGGGTTAACCAATTAGTCTGCCCCATCTGCAGAGTTTTCTAGGGACAGTAATTGGAAAAGAGGATTAATAGAGATGCAAAAGTAAGGAAGTGGTTCCAGGTATCATCTGGTTTCTATTAGAGATAAACCACACTGTTTCCTTCCTGTGCATATAATCGGAGAGCTTGAATGGTATTTGCTGAGTGCAGAAGAAAAAGAGGAAAGTAGGAAAGTGGTATCAGCGTGTGTGTGAGAGAGTGTGCGTTTTGTGTGCGTTCATGTGCATTTGTCTGTGTGCACATGTGGTTGTTTGCATGCATGCATGCACACGAGTGCTTATTTTGATTTATACACATGTGCATTTGTCTGTGTGCACATGTGGTGGTGTGCATGCATGCATGCATGCACACAAGTGCTTATTTTGATTTATACAGTCTCCTTCCTCCCATCCTTGTGTCTCACAGGTATGTGTATCACAGCTCCAAGTGGATGGTCGCAGGGAATGCCGACTCCCCTGTACCTCCAAGGGTTTACATCCACCCTGACTCACTGGCGTCTGGAGACACCTGGATGCGGCAAGTCGTCAGTTTTGATAAACTCAAACTGACCAACAATGAACTAGATGACCAAGGCCATGTAAGTTGGAAAGAAGCACCTTCTGTTTTTACCATCCTTTCATTTTCATCTTCCACATTGCCCGCTATAGAACAAGAATCTTTGCTCTAGGCCCAAATACCAGAGCGTTCAGGCAGCTTTCATTGTTTGCCGTCAATCGGTTGCTCTGGCATCTCCTACCCAGACCAGCTCTCATTCCAGAAACAGGCTCAGAACATTTGCCCAAATCATGTTTCTGCCTAAGCCCAAACCCCTGCTTGGATGAACTTCTTCGAAGGTCGAGCTGCATTTTTTGGCAGACCAGTTTCTATCTTCATCTCCCAGACCTCCACCACCGTGCTCCTGAAGCAGATCTTGCATGGCAAACTACTAATCAAGATTTCAATTAGCACAAGGGTCGTTAGGCAAAAATCTCCGATTATTTCTCTCCAATTTTTGCCAACACCCTCCAATTTAGATCTTTCCTTGTGATTTATAATACAGTGGTGCCTCGCTTGACGACGCTAATTCGTTCCAGCGAAATCGCTGTAAAGCGAAAACGTTGTCAAACGAAATTATAAAAACCCATTGAAAAGCATTGAAAACTGTTCAATGCGTTCCAATGGGCTGAATACCTGCTCATCCATCGAAGATCCTCCATACAGTGACCATTTTTGGTGCCTGTAAAGCAAGGAATCCATCCTAGAAAATAGCAGGGGGCTATTTTCTTCAGCCGGTGGGCATTTTGAAACCCGACGATCAGCTGTTTGCTGATTGTCGTAAAGCGAAAATCGGTTCCCGAAGTAGGAAACCGATCATCACACAGCAGAAAAAAAACCCATTTAAAACATCGTTTTGCGATCGCAAAAACATCAACATAAAGCGGATTTGTCGTAGAGCGGGGTAATCATCCAGCGGGGCACAACATTTAGAAAATCAGGACACCCTTTTCTACTTGTCTATAGGGCTACTGAGGTAATCATCCAGCGGGGCACAACTGTATGTAGAAAATCAGGACGCCCTTTTCTACTTGTCTATAGAGCTACTGATAACATAAATGTGGTCCAGTCTACCTATTTTTATCTCAGGATGATTGCCCAGCTGTGTCCCTACCTCGACACTGGGTCTCTCACGACATTGTTCCATGCACTGCTAATCTCATGATTAGACTACTGCAAAACTCTTTATGTGGGGCTGCCCACGAGGCCGTCACAGAAACTTCAACAGGTCCAGTACACAGTGGCCAGTTATTGAGTAGAGCAAATAAATATCAATATATCACCCCAGTTCTGGCTGTCTTACTCTTGGAAACCTGTCCATTTCCATGCCAGATTCAAGGTGATGGTTCTGTAACATATAAAACCCTAAATGGTTTTGGACTCAGGACTTGGCATCTAGTACCTAGATCTACCTGTCCTACAAGAACATCCCAAGCAGGCCAGCTGAGGATGCTAACCCCGAGGGAGGCCTGGAGGCAGAAGACAAGAAACTGGGCCTTCTTCATGGTTGCTCCTCAGCTGTGGAAGGAACTCCCTCATGCACATCCATCTGACCCCTTTGCTGGTGATTTTTAAAAACCTTGTTATTCAGACAGGCATTCCAAAACATTATACCTGCCGATTCAGCTGAGCTCAGTTAGCCTACTTGATCAAGACCATTGTTTTAAATGTTCCAAAACATTATACCTGCCGATTCAGCTGAGCTTAGTTAGCCTACTTGATCAAGTCCATGGTTTTAAATGTTTTTATGCAAATATATGTTCATGCTTTTGATTGCACTGTTTATTTGTATTTTATTATTTTTATTTCCTGTTCTGTTAAATTGTGTTTTAATTATGTTGTTTGTGTTTGTTTGTAAACCACCCAGAGTGGTCTTTGGCCAGCTGGGCTAATTAAAAATGAAGTAAGTAAGTAAGTAAGTAAGTAAGTAAGTAAGTAAGTAAGTAAGTAAGTAAGTAAGTAAGTAAGTAAGTAAGTAAATCTCCAACAAACTCACCTTAATCACTTCAAAATCTTTGATGCGGGCATGCATAATAGTTTGATTGTTGAGTCACACGAGTCTATGTGATGGTCAAATAACATTTACCTCACAAGTCCGTGAAGGAACCTGATCCAGATTGAGACTCTTGTATGGGAGCTGGAAGGGGCTGCCTTTATTGATGAAATTGGCTCAGCCAAACCTGCTGTGACTTCTGGCTTCCCTACCTACAGCTACAGCACCACCTGCCATTATTTGCTATGGCTTCTGCTCATCAGTCGCCACAGGTCATAATTCTCAGCAGATGAAATTGTGGTGTGTAATTTCTACAGTGCTCATTTCCATATCTTAGTTCTGCAGTTATGTTTAGAATATTGCATCCAAAATAACTGGTCCCTTTCCTCTTTTTTTAAAGATAATTCTGCACTCAATGCACAAGTACCAACCACGAGTGCATGTTATCCGCAAAGATTACAGCAGCGACCTGTCTCCCACAAAGCCAGTCCCCACAGGTGATGGGGTGAAAACCTTCAGCTTTCCAGAGACTGTCTTCACCACAGTCACTGCTTATCAAAACCAGCAGGTAATTTAAAAAGACATTCCTGAAACCCATCTGCCATATAACGCCTAGGTTTTGGTATCCTATGTACAGTTATGAAGCGTACTCCGTGTGCGCGCGTAGTAAACAACCTGAACGTCGTAAAAGTGAAGTGAGGCCCTGAAACCCATCTGCCATATAACGCCTAGCTTTTGGTATCCTATGTACAATTATGAAGCGTACTCCGTGTGCGCTCGTAGTAAACAACCTGAACATCATAAAAGTGAAGTAGGTGAAAATGTGGATGGAAAAGCCTTATTTGGGCTTTATAATTCAGCTAAATGCAGCACATGTAGATGGAAGTGCTGCAGCCCACCTCCCATCCCTGGTTTTGCCACTTTCGACACAGGAAGGGTGATGGTTCTGAGGAGGGGGAGCTCTGCTACCTCTATACATTCTCCATTTGCTGACTCCAATTCACATGGAAAAGCCCCAACAGATAATCAGCGTCTTCAGATTTATCACTTTGTACAAATAAAAGGATGACAGAAGTGAGAATTGTTTAGAGGGTAGCTATCTTTGCCCTGAAACGAGAAGACTGAGTAGACAAAAAACAAACGAACAACAATAACAACAACACCAACAAAAACCCTCCCAAGCTGGAAAGGCTTGTCACCTCCTGAACTAGGGAAATCTCTAATATGTGTGCAGAGCAGAAAAGGCACTGGGCAGGCTATGCTGTTATCGAATCAGCGCTTAAGCTTTATTGCAGATTTTTAAAAAGGCACAATGTAGATTTAAGAATGTAATGCAAGGGCAGAAATGATAACTTGGGGCTTCCACACTGGGCACCTCTTAATTAAAGAAAATGCATGTAAGCATGAAGTGTGTAAACATCATAATTAAATAATATAGAACATCCCTCACACAAATCTCTAAAACCATCTCTAGACAACTCTCTCTCTTTTTTGGCATGCTGGCCATTATTCTAACATCATAATTAAATAATATAGAACATCCCTTATACATATCTCTAAAACCATCTCTAGAAAGCTCTCTCTCTCTCTTTTTTTTTTTTTGGCATGCTGGCCATTATTCTAGCAAAGGCCCAGATCCTTCTCAAGGTCTTTTGGCGTTTGTGACAAACCTTCCAACCTAACAATCTCTGAATGAGCCTGATCAATGCTGATGCCACCCACTACCTCATCCCTATTATGAACCTTTCTTGGAATGTAACATAATGGGCAAGTACTTCGTGTATTTCATGCCACGTAATGGTCTGTCCAAATCTGTTGCCATAAAAATATCCCCTTTGGGATCTGCCCTGATTATAAATACAGTAATTTAAGAAGAAGAAGAGAAACATCTTCTATGGGGCCTCACTACTACATTTTAAAAGGACTGTCAAGGCAAGATTAAGAATGAAAATCAGCCTGAAGGTGCTATTTATTCTTGATCATTGTTTCAGGCATGTACATATTATCTTATTACATGAGCCACTAAAAATAAGGCCCTGGCAAGAACTTAAGCAAACATTTAACGAACAAAAGGTACACCATGGGGAATGCCAATGGAACCCAGGACACCTCCACACTCATCTGGACAAACAGCTGCATACTGCCATTTTTCTAAAGTCACAAAGATTATTATTTTCATGGCACTTCATAAGCCTAAACCCTTGCTTTAGTGCTTGTGTTTATGGATATCCACTGCCTGACTGAATAACATGTGGGCCACTACTTTGTTTCACAACTCCCTTCTCTCCAGGTCAGGTTGGTTTCATCTTGCTTATTATTGTACGTTGACTTGAGAATTAACAGCAGATTTGGAGGTCAAAATGCCTCTGTCTGTCTGTCTGTCTGTCTGTCTGTCTGTCTGTCTGTCTGTCTGTCTGTCTGTCTGTCTGTCTGTCTGTCTGTCTGTCTGTCTGTCTGTCTGTCTGTCTGTCTGTCTGTCTGTCTGTCTGTCTGTCTGTCTGTCTGTCTGTCTGTCTGTCTGTCTGTCTGTCTGTCTGTCTGTCTGTCTGTCTGTCTATCTATCTATCTATCTATCTATCTATCTATCTATCTATCTATCTATCTATCTATCTATCTATCAGGGCAAAAACCATAACAATGCAGTTTCCATTGCTATATATTAGAGGAATGGTGGTCTTAGCAATATGTCAGTTGAGCAAATGAAAATGGCAGCATAAATTAGCTTGAAAGACAAAGACAGGTGGTGTGACCCAACTTGTGGAAAAACACACATACTGTGATCTACTCTGTGCTGCCAAAAATTTGACTGCGGAACAAAATTTGTCATAAATCAAGAACAGAAGGAGATTTGCGACATAGGCAGGTGAGTTTATAGACTATTAATATGGAAACCAAGTGTCTGGAGCAACTCTAGGAAGACCCAAATGATTATTGATGTCATGATAATCCACCTGTTGTTCATGTATTATGCATATTTTCATTCTTAAGATTATAAAGGTAGAGTGGCTTTTGTGGAAATTAGGGGGGGGAATGCATTCCTCAATCATTTAAAATGATGTTGTTTGAAATTTGTTAGGTTTAGAAACTCAGGAAAAAAAACTGTTCATGTGTTGAGAGAAGGTATGCCACAGCAGGTTCCTGTCTCCCTTTCCCCAAAATGTTCATTAATCTCCTGTCTTGTAAAGTCAGTCAATGACAGTGTGAGGTATTCAATGTTAAGGACATTGTTTAACTTCGACCCTTAAGAAGTTTTGATTAGTGACCTCTGCGTTCCATGTATGGACTCCCGCACATTCTGGATTACATATGGAGAGAGGATCTTTGAGCAGTTCCTGCAGATTGTCCCAGTAATGTGTATCTATGTGCACAAGGATGTTAGCACAGGGATGTTATTCTTCAGAAGACTTCTAACACTCATAGAGACAAAAAATATATATATATTCATAAATAGATCCAGGTCGTCTCCACCACAGACAGCTCTTAATCAGTACCCTGGTAAGTGGCAGAACCATTACCAGCCTCACAAGCTATCTGGAAATGCTTTCTGGATTTTCAAGGCAGGGAAAACAATGCTTTGAAACATTTCCAGTACACTGGGAACATTGCACCTGTCTTTGGTTAGGATTGCTAGGTATTTTACTGGCAGAGTGCTGCAGCCTAGTGCTGAAAACCCATACTGGAGATTGGTAGTAAAGAGACATTCCTGCTCATGTGTAGCCTCTCTGCATGAGCAAGAAACAGAGAAAATTTATGTTCTTCTTATGTGGAGAGTCTAGACACAGGCTGCAACCTCTCCTCTACAAATGGACCAGTCTTCACATCGAGAAAGCAACAATGGAAGGCAGCAGGAGGAGTTGAGGGGGAGGCCTGCCACTTCTGCCTAAGCATGTTGTCGAGAACTGGGTAGTGCCTGAATAGGCCCCACAAGTCCTTTGAATCGCTGTATTAGCTACAGCAGCTTCTCTTCATGTGATGGCAACATGCAGAGGGTCATTTCCCCCTCCATTTTGGCACTATTAAAGGCAAGAAGCATTGTCCTTACTCTGACTGGCTTTGTTGGATCCTCACATAACCATATCTAATTAACCACATGGCATCACCAGGAAATCAAATCTGAATGAGGGCAGCACTTCCTGTCCTCAGCTTTCTGCAGCTGGCACCAAACAACAGCTGGTAGCCAGATGCAGCATGGGGCCTGTCACCAGTGGCATTTTATTTAAACGCTTCACTTATGTTTGCTTCCCTGGAAGGGACTGCTGACATGATGTAGGGGAGGCCTGTTTGAAGGCTGGGACAGCTAAGTGTTGTGTGCAAAGGTTTTCCCAGAAGATTTTCTAGGCGAGGACCAAGCTGCACAGTAACAGGATGCTTCTCTGTGTACATTAAAATCATAAATATATCTGGGATTTGAGGGGGAATATCCCCTTGCTTTCCCTTCTACGGATAAGAGGGTGGGTGGGTGTCAAGTTAGCTTCAGTAGTAAAAGACCAGTTATAAAGACCAGTTACCTAATGTCTTTATTAGTTAACTAATTCTGATCACCAAGGGAGTGCCTGAACATTGGATAACTGTCTTTGCTATCATATTTAATCATTACTCTATATTCTGGTCCCTGAAATCCTGTTGCTTTGTTAAGTATGCAGGAAGCAAACAGCATAATGTTCAGTCACTTCTAGCCGGCAATTAACAAGTCGCTGCTGGGATTCTTGGGGGCTTGAGCAATTGCTGTCTTGGTGCATGCTTGAGAACCAGTGGGGAATTGTTAATTGCCAGCCAGAAACCTCTGAATATGCTGTTTGCCTTCTGCAGGCATAACAAGCAAAAGGATTTCAGCTGATATAGATTTATTAGTACATCATGGAAGAAAATCCAAATGTCCTGCAATTGGCACAGACATATTGATGTTTACAGTAATTCAGAAATGGCATTAGCAGTTTTTGAAAAACATTGTTCATTGTGCGTGTTGTCAACAATTTGGAAACTATTTAAATGAGGAGGAAGGCATTAAACACCAATGTAAAGAAGATACAATAGTAAAAGTTGTACAGGATGTAGAATAAAATAATCACAACTGAAATCTGAATCAGTGTGCATTCTATTACAGATCACCAGATTAAAAATTGACCGGAATCCATTTGCAAAAGGATTCAGGGATTCTGGAAGAAACAGGTAAGAGAGTTCCCATGGGCTTTTCTTCTCTGCTTTAGAGAAGGTGTTTTATTGGTGCTTTATTTTATCAGTCCTATCCAGCAAGGATCATTTCACTCGGGAAATTTTGTACCCAACATCTCAGACTGCCCATAGATTCACCTATTTATTCTGAATATCTATAGGGCAATCTTTCAATCAGAAATGCTTGCAGAAATCAATCAGTCAGTCAAATTCCTGACACTACCTTCCGCCACTGCTCATCAGCAGTCCTTATTTTCTGGTGGGCCATGCATAGTTCCCTTCAATTCAGTCCTTGAACAAAAAAAACCCTCAAAAGTAGGGCTCAGCACTTTTTCTGGGCAGTTCAGGACTCTTAATTTTCCCTGTATTTGAAAAAGGGAAGGGCCAAGGGTGGCTGAGGTAATCCCTATTTGGGTCTGTGAATGACAGGAATGGGTCATGTTGATTGTTTGAGCTTCAGCATTGCTGAAGATGACCAGAAGATATTTGTCTGGCCCTCACCACTTCCTTTGGATTTGTTTTGCAAAAAAATCATGGCTCGTTAACATTAGGACAGACAGGAAATTGTTTCCGGGTTGTGGCTGTGGAGATCTGTGTGCAGTATTCTGCTGAAATGGAAAGTAAGTAAAGTCTTTAAGGTATTATACATCAAAGAGAGCTGCCCGAGGGCTTAAGGCAGGAAAGCCACACACACAAAAAAAACTTTGAGCACACTGAGTAGGAGGGATTTGGCTTTGTTAATGAAGTTTCTGCCAAGATTTTATTGGGGGCCAAGCCAACAAGTTGCTGTAATTCTCAGGGTCATTCCCTGGAGAAACCCGACTCTATAGGCAGTTAAAAGGAGGGGTTTAAGTAAAAAGCATCTGCAGGGTCAGATGAGAGAAGGGGTGGTCTTTGCCATAGTATGCACTTAATTCCCTCCCTCAGGAAATCGTGGGAACTGCAATTTGAGGGTGACAGACCATATGTTGGGGATTTGAAACAGAGAATTTTCAGCACCCTCAAACGACAGTTCCCCGGATTCTTGGAGATCCCTGACTGTTAAGTTGGATAGAACTGATACAGGTTTATAGCAGAGCTGGAAAAGCAATTTAAACACAAACACACACCAGTGGCTCTAGCCTTTTTGTAGCTATGGTGAGAAAGCGATGGAGTCTGGTTTTGTTTTGTTTTTGGCAACCTTTTTTTTTTGTTATGGCTGTTATTCACTGTTGCTGCAGTTCTCCCCCCATATTGCCAGCTTCAGAAAGTCGGATGGTTCTACATGTGCCTTTTGCTCAAGCAATATGGCGTAGCTATCGTGGCATAAAAATTATAGTTCCCTCCCCCTTGGGTGGGTCTAGCTTTTGGTGGAACATGACCAATCCTAAAATGTCTGTCTTGAGGAGAGTTTTGAGCAAACCACCCCACTGCTCTTGAGGGAATAGATTTGGGAGCAGCATCTTGTCATCTCCAAGGCTTGTATCTTTAAAAGGGAGGCTTAAATGGCAACCCCTTCTCCTCTCTGAGTGGATATGGTCTCTTCAGAGATTCAGCTAAACTGTTAGGAAGATGTTGGGGAGTCCCAGGTGATATTTTTCTCCTGAACTGATCATTTTTAAAATAATATTTCAAGTGGTTTAGTAAAGACAGGCTTTCTTTTCTCAACAGTGTTGTTTATCTTTCCCTACATTTTAGAAGATACCCAGTGGATAGAATGACAGACTAGGACTCAGGAGACCTGGGTTTGAATCCCCGCTCCGCCAGATGCAACTGAGGGATGGACTTGGTAAAGCCACTCCTTAAATTCCACATTTACCTTGAGAGCCCTATTAGGGTTGCTATAAGTCAGTTCCAACTTGACAACACATAATAAGATAAACATTTTAGAAAGCAGAGAAATTTGTAAAAAAAGAGAGCAAGGAACTTCCTTCATGTTACAGCAAAATTATGCTTGAAGCTGTATTTCAAGACAAGAAATTCCACCCCAAGGAGCTAGTATATCATCTCACTAGCCCTCTCCCCTCACTATGTAGCAATCTTTGTACTGTGAAACAGCAGAAATGAAATGCAGGCCTTAATGTCAACATGTACAGACAGTGGCTTTGCAGCATCATCCTATTAGCGGTCACTTTTTCTGTCAACTGCCCGGTGTAATTGATCTATCGCAATGGAAAGGAAGTCACTTTGTGTTTAACAGACTTAGTCCAAGGCAAACTGAGGTTTCTTTCTCTTTCGAGATGAAAAAATGGAACCCATCTTTTGTGTTCACTTGCCATGGAAATTAAGGCATTATTTTTATATTATTTTATTTATTTATTAACAGACTTAGTCCAAGGCAAACTGAGGTTTCTTTCTCTTTCGAGATGAAAAAATGGAACCCATCTTTTGTGTTCACTTGCCATGGAAATTAAGGCATAAGAAAAGTGCATCAGTGTGTTCATGTTTTTAGTGAAGATGCGGGAAGTTGATAAATAGTTTGACTGACTTCATCTTTGGTGGTATAATTTCAATCATGATGTTTTGCTTTAAACGGAATGTGTTCTCCCTGCCACTCGTTTGGCAAAGTAATAACATACAGAACTTATCCATAACTAAACAGTGGTAGGATGATGCTCTGAGTCCCAAAGTATTATTTTTCCAATTATGTCTGACATTATATTTGCTATTATCTTGTTGGCAGGCAGGCAGAAAGGAAGGAAGGAAGGACATTTAATGTCATTTATTAAAAACAACATACTGTTAATTAGAGAGCAGGGCAGGTTTTAAAGGAAGGCTTTTACCTTACATTTTCTTATAAAAAGATTTTACCCAGAACAGACAACAATGGGAATAGAGCTCACCACAGTTAAGGACAATAACTGTCATTTGGTAAACTCTTGCCTTTTGTTATAGAATTTATTTTATTTAAAACCTCTATGGTAGTGAAAAATGAGTAGCACACAATGAGAAAAGAAGGCATTTCAGTCTTCTTTCACCATGGCTTTTATTTTAGAAAATGTGTTTTTCTGCTTTATACTAGGGTAATTGAGGCTTTTCTCTCCCACTGTTTTCAGCTTTTTTTTTCCTTAAAAAAAGTTACAGCAGCATTCACAGGGTGTAAAATTGCCATTAAAAGCATAGTTTGCTGTCTATTATAAACCTATGGTTTTTATTGGCTCATAAATCCCACCAAATCTTTTCCCGCAAACTTTTTGGTAGAACTCTGCTCAACCCTATAAAATCTGGGTGAATTAATTGGTGGCTTGGGAACACCTTTAGACATGGATGACTCTACAAAACAAACTTACAAAGCTGGCATGGTATAGATGCTGGGTCGCTGTTGGGCTTGAAATTGAGTGAAGAGTGGAAGACAAGCAGCATAAATCTGTTCCCCAGCAAATTAAATCCAGGCAGGCTGTTGTTAAGCTCTCTGGCAGATTCTAAGCGGATATAAAATAATGAGGTTTTACCATTAGCTGGAAAGGCAGCTATTAATGTGCAATCAACATAGACCAGAGTATGGGAAAGAATTCTGAATACAAGCTTACTACTTGCATTGAAGATTTGTCACACTTTATTTTCTCATTATTTGCATGTGAAAGATGACAACTGCAGGAGAACAGCCTAGTTTTTCACACAGCATATTCGCTGTGATGTTTTTGTTTTGACTGCGTGGAGATGAATCCATTGTCCAGAGAAAATTCGGCAAATCGTTCTAAAGCATATGCCATCCTTTAAACTGGCTTAGAAATGAAATGTAAAGGTTCCTTCACCACCCCTCTGCCTAATGGTAGTGATGTTCAAAACTCCATATGCTTCCTTATCCTCCTCTTGGTTGTCCCAGCTCCAAGGGGTCTCATCCAAACACCAGCTTGTCTTTTGTGTCTCCCTCCCGGTTCACTTGGTAAGAATTCTTTGTAAATAACAAAGTAATTTTCCCAGTTGTATTCCCCCCCAGTGTTAACAATGTTTGCCTAAAAACATTACAGTGTACTGTAAAGTATCAAGTAGGGTTTACATATTTCCTAATGCACAGTTAAATTGAAGATTTGTCATGCCTTATTTTCATGCCTTGTTGGAAAGAAGGTTGAACGTTTCCCCAGATCCATTTGTAAAGTTTTTTTTTAAACCAAAAGTACAACTTCACTACATAGGGGAGAATCTAAACAGTATAACACATAATAGTACCAAAAACATGAGTAGAATGATTCTCTTGATAGTTGCAAAGAAATAATCTCTTGCACAGATGTATAAACTAGAGATGGGCAGGAGCTGGTGGTTCATGCTGGTTCGTCCTTTGGACAAACAGATGTTCGGTGCTTCCCAGCCCCGCCTCCTCTGGCAATCACCCACTCAGAGGCAACTCCTGGAGCAGGCGGGATGGGGAAGCCAGGGCGCTGCCTCTGAGTGGGCGCCCACCAGAGGAGGTGGGGCTGGGAAGCACCTGTTCGTCTGAAGGGCAAACCGGCACGAACCGCTGAATCGGCAGATCGTGACCATCTCTAGTATAAACCTCAAGCCAAACACTAGACCTTATAAATCATTCATATCATACTGAAAGGGCTACACCCAAACAGAGAGTGTTCGGGGTGTGTGTGTTTCCTTTTGTGGACCATTCCCTGCATTTGCATGATGGCCCTCCTTCATCATTTTTTTGCCCAAGAGTGTGACTGTATTCAAGGACCTTCAGAAGAAGTCGTATGGTAATGGTTTCTTGCATTAAAAGAGAGCCCTTCTGTGATGCAACTCCGTCTCTGAGACCTTTATTATGTTCTGGGTCCTCACAAAGACGCAAGCTGCATCTACCTTCCTCACACTGCCACCAGATGTTTTCTTTTAAACATCAGTCAATTCAAGGACACACCATTTAACAAATGCATTAAGTTTATTTATCAGGGAGGGGGTTAATGATTGGTTGAAAATACCAGAGTCAATCACAGGAAGCAAATCACTTAGGTAAACAAGTATGTATTTAACTCCTTGTCAGTGTTTTTTAATGCAAATCGCGGTTTTAGCAGAGTGATTCGCAGTCCAGGCAGTCCAGAAATAACTCACACACAGTCCAGCAGCATTTCCTTCAGCAACGTGTATTTACATCAGTATTTACCGCAGTCTGGCAGTATAATGTGTAGAAGTGATCTTCAAGCAGGAAGAAGATACAACTGACTGTACAATTCACACACATATATACATATACAGGACCAATCAGATCACACATTGCATCATCCCTGCGTTGCATCAGCTCTGCTGAGTCATCCTGACTCAGGTTTAACACACCTGATCATTATGGATTCTCATTAATACGCTCCATTCTGCTCAGGCCTGTAATTTTCTTTGACATTCCTTCTATTACTTCACTATATTTCCCAATCTCTAATTTCAGTCTACCTCAATCAATACACTTTGAACCTCTGATCTCAATCCTTATGTTTGTCCCCTCACTCTACTCTCACTGTCTCACTCCTCCTCTCACTCTCACACTCCACCAAAACTTATATCACACAGAACTCTCTCTGTCCTCCAGACTCCTCCTTTTGTACCCCCTCTTCTCTCCTGCTCCCGCCTTCCGTCCTCCTCATTGGTTCTCCTGCCAAGGTTCCATTGTGACAGGCAGGTGCTGACTGGGGTACCCGCTACAACTAAGCTTCTAAGTTAGCAGCCTCATTCCTCCTCTTTATTGCGGTATGAGGGAAGCAGCAGCCCTGTTCTTTTGCTTGGTGGACACCACACTGCTTGCTTCTCAGCTGTTAGGTTAGGCATCCTTCAGTCTCGAAAGACTAGCTGTAGCAGATCAGATTAGATGAGAAAGTGTGTGGGGAAAACAGTCATTATTTCCTCCCCTGCAAACTTTTTTTTCCCACCTTCTAAAATGACAAAAACTGTACTTCAGGAAAATTTAGGGCAAACATTTCTTTGAAAGTGTGAAAAATCCACGAAAGAACATCCGCAGTCAATTCGTGATGTATGGTTATCAAATCAAAGAAGTGCCATTGACACCCTGAGGCAGTTCTATATATTAGGTTTAAACTTGTAAGCCATCCTGAGAACCAGTGGATGGAAAGAAGCCTTTAAAATAAACATATACAATTCATTTGGCTGTGATTCTTCAGTGGGTACTTTCACACAATTATGCTATGGCAATGTACTTGAGGGTGTAAGAGTAAGGGAAAGGGTGTAATCAGAAAGGAAAGTGACATAAAAGATTGGGGGGAAGATAGTTAGGCCAAGGGCATAACATATGGCTCTTATTTTTACATATGTATAGAAAAAAAATACTGTACATACTTATTTACAGTATTTAGCTGATTCGTTATTTGGGTGCAGCATTCTGTGCCCTATTAAAATGTTGAAGGGGCTGTCACTATTTTAGGACAGTGCATCACACTCCTTTTCTGTTTCTTAACACTTGTTCAGAAGGAACAACAATTTTGGATCAGATTGTACAACACAGACCTTGATTTCGTTCAAAATCCAAAGTACTTTCACACAATTATGCTATGGCAATGTAAAATGAAAACAAAATGGCCAGTTTTCACCCCTAATATTAACCGTCTTCATCCCCCTTCAGTCTGTGCATGTACAGGCAATGAGGTTGTTCTTCTAACGTTCTGGAGTGATTTCAAGGAGACAGGGAAGCAGGTATCATGAAGTTATATTGTGTTTTTTTTTTCTTGTAAGTTTTGTATTATACATGCATAGTAGGGTGCCTAAGTTTATCCATTTTTGCCCTAGTGAGAGTTGAGGCTTGATTTGATTGAGGAGCAACCTTCTTGCCTTTCTGTGCTATCTGTATGGTTCTCCTCCAACACCAAATTTCAAATGAGTCAATCGCCATCCCTTCACTGTCATTACATAAGAACATAAGAAGAAGAGCCCTGCTGGATCAGGCCAAGGGCCCATCTAGTCCAGCTTCCTCTATCTCACAGTGGCCCCACCAGAGGCCTCTGGGAGGACACGAGACCACTAGATATCTGTCTCCTGGTATCACTCCTCTGCATCTGGCATTTTGAAGTACCTTCCTTCTAAGCCTGGAGATTATATATGAGCCAGTGGTGTCATCTAGGGCATGTAGCTTAGGGTTAAAGCTTATGTGTTTCATCACACAGGGTCCAAGGTTTGATTCCGAAAGTGACTCCAGTTAGGAGAGTTTAGCCTGATAATGTTATGCATTGCACCAGTTTTGGTACCTTTCCAGGTTGGGTTCAATGGAGGATAATGGCCTCAGAAGTGGAACTGTCATACACTGGGTGCTGTGGAACACTAAAGGAAGTTGAACATGCTAGATGACTTCCCAAATCCATGGATATGCTTACAGATGGAGGAACATCAGCTGGGCGAGAAAGGAGGTGTTGGGATCAAGGCTCCCAACATGCCCAGCCAAGGCACTTGGGTCCTAGCCGCTGTCTGTGTATGCTGATTGATGGCAGTTTTTATGACAGAAGCAGGTTGGGTCTGTCCACTTCCTGATCCTCTTAAATAGTATTGGTTTCTTGAGCATTTTACAACTCAAGACATTTGTCAGCATGTAGTTTAGGACAGCTGTGAACCTTAGTAAATTTTAATGTAATCATGCCCAGCCAAGGCACTTGGGTCCTAGCCGCTGTCTGTGTATGCTGATTGATGGCAGTTTTTATGACAGAAGCAGGTTGGGTCTGTCCACTTCCTGATCCTCTTAAATAGTATTGGTTTCTTGAGCATTTTACAACTCAAGACATTTGTCAGCATGTAGTTTAGGACAGCTGTGAACCTTAGTAAATTTTAATGTAATATTTAGTAAACATTTGTCAGCATGTAGTTTAGGACAGCTATGAACCTTAGTAAATTTAAATTTAGTAAATTTATTGTTTCTCCACAGGCCTTAGCTTCCTCATGTGTATGTGTAGGGACACAATAGATTAGTCTCTGTGTTACTTTGAGTTGATTCTCCCATTTAAAAGTCAGCAACGCTGTATGTATGATTAAATGGGGAATGTATAAACTCCCTGCTCCACATGACTACCATAGTATGTCTGAGTACGACAATCCTCTCACGGCAGAAAGGGTAGGGTGGTGAATAATGGCCGAAATCTAGATTGTAATGTCAATCTATCAACGCTCTGTATGATGTCATCATACATGAGAAAAGCATGCTTTACAATCCTGTTGCTACACCATATACAAAGTAGTCTCTGGTATAACTTGGATGGACTTATGTTAGCCTGAATAATCCAAGGGCATATTTTGATATAATTTCCTTGTGGGCGTGGTGGCGCTGTGGGCTAAACCACAGAAGCCTGTGTCCTGCAGGGTTAGAAGGCCAAGCAGTCGTAAGATCGAATCCACGCGACGGAGTGAGCTCCCATTGCTTTGTCCCAGCTCCTCGCCAACCTAGCAGTTCGAAAGCATGCAAATGCAAGTAGATAAATAGGTACCACCTCGATGGGAAGGTAAAACGGCGTTCCCTAGTCACGCTGGCCAGGTGACAATGGAAACTGTCTTTGGACAAGTGCTGGCTCTATGGCTTGAAAACAGGATGAGCACCGCCCCCTAGGGTCGGACACGACTGGACTAAAAATATCAAGGGGAACCTTTACCTTTACATTTACCCTGACCTTGATCTCTGTACAGTCTTCATTTCAGCTGGAGAATATTATTGCAAAATATTCTGTGCTGCTATGAGGCTGCTATGTGGAAACATCTATTCTTACTCCCAGCAGCTTAGCAGCTAATAAACACTTTACAACAATTTCCCCTCCCCTAAACTAGCTGTTAAAATCAAGAGTTTTGCCAGTTATCATCTGTACAAGACATCCATGCTTCCGGGGTGACTTTGGATAGGTGACTGAGTAGAGTCACATCTAGGAAATATTCTGAGTTATAAGAACCTGTCCTCTGAACAGCCCAGACTCCCTTAAGGGGCTCCAGGAAGTACTGCACAGAGTTCTGGAAATGGAACACGATCACATTCAGATGTAATGAGCCACCAGAAAATAGGCCAAAAATAGGAAATACAGCAGAAGTGTGATGAGGAAAGGTCAGCCAGTCAGTATCTTTTGATTACTTGGTATGTACTGCTGTTTCCCACAATTCTTCAGTATTATGGTGAGGAGAGGAACTGAGAATGTTAACTGGAGTCCTGAGGGCAGGGGCCATCAGTTTGGCATGCCACCTTTTACCTCTATTTCTGCAGGTGCCTCTTAATTTATCTGCCTGCCTTGGAAGGTGGGTACATTCAGGCCCCTTGTGTTTGAGGCAGATTCATTTCTGCACAGCTTGGAAAGATCAGCTTTCTGATCAAAGAAGCAGGGCAGAATTAATCATGAATGCTGTTCTTCTCAAAGGAGTGGATGATTTAGGAGACAACAGGAAAATATTAAAGAGAGAACTGAGGAGGCAGATACGTTATTAAAGATCTGGGTGACAAAAATATGCAGTTTGGCACAACACAGGAATTAATGGTTGTCAAAATGACTGCCAAGTTGCTCTCAACAGGGAAAAAAGGTTTAAATAATTGCATTTGTTGAAATGGATATACCCGCTCACCGACATTTTATGCTCTCTCTTCCCCTGTTTTCACTTCACAGAACTGGCCTGGAGGCCATTATGGAAACATATGCCTTCTGGAGGCCCCCCGTGCGCACGCTCACCTTTGAAGATTTCACCACCATGCAAAAACAGCAAGGTGAGCCATTTTCTAATGGGCACCAGAATGGTGGCAATGAAAAAATGACAGAGCTTTATAATGGGCATATGGCATCCAGCTGAAGTCCTCAGTCTCTTGACAGGCAAGAATAGAAATGAGAAAAGTGGAGCGTCTAGTTTTAGAAACAGGGAAGGATTTGTAGCAGAGATTCTTGACAGCCACCTCAAAGCCCCGGCTTGAGCTATTTCATGTTTGGGAAACCTTTCCCACAGTAAAAAGGAGGAGCAAGGTGTATATCTCAGTGGCCACACATGTCCCTTGCATTCAGATGTTCCTCAGCTAAGTTAGGCATGATTTTGAGCCTTAGAGGAGGAAGGACCATTTCCACCAGATAATGAAAAGCCAACTGGAGTAGACACCATACCAAGCTATAAGGGGCCATTGACCTGAATCAGCAGAAGGCCACATCATATATAAAGAGATGAAAGGGTGCTGAGGGAGAAAAACAATGGCTGCTCAAACAAATATGAAATAAGTGCCCTCAGTCAGCATAATGGTGCTGCTGGTGGCCTGGATGACATCATGTATTTCTAGCTCAGTAACGCATGGCTCAAGGAACGTTTGACTCGCTGTAGCCTCCCATTTGGGTCCATCTCTGGTTTCCTGAGGATGGAAATGTTGTTGCTTGTTTGTATGTTTACTGTTTCTGTGCTACCTCCCTGCTGGTTTTGGCTGCTGCATGTTACTGCCAAGAAACATGGCGCACTGCCAGATGAACCCCTGACATCAGCAAAGGCCAGCTCTGAAATATATTGAGGCTGCTTCTCTCCCTCTGCCCCTTCCTGCGGTGTGTGTGTTGGGGGGAAACAGCACCTTTTTCTAATGTATGTTTCACAATATTCCATGAGGATGTTCACATTTGTATATAATTATGCAGGGGGCATGTGCTTTCTGAGTGACCAGCAGGTAATCCTGATACAGAGTTAGGGCTTGCCTGCCTGCAAGAGAAGGAGGGAGAAGTCAAGGAGGGGCAATATTGTTTACTGCCATCTCTTGCTTGTAAGGGTGATTACACTATAAATGAGTGCCAGTTTCGTTCCCACTTAGAAATCCTGAATAAAGTGGTGGAATGTAGGTGTTAAGCAAGTTCTGGAATGACTCTCTTCACAGAACAAGCCTTCCTAGAATGAGTGAGTGGGTTGGTTAGTAATAACTTTGACATGTTATGTCCTGTTTCTGTGTCCAAAAATTTGTTGTCCCAAGGCAGGTCACAGTATTTATTTTTATTTATTTTATTTATATCCCGCCTATCTAGTCAATTAAGACCACTCTAGGCGGCTTACAGCAAAATATAACAATATAATTAAAAACAATTTTATATAAGGGGAAAAACTTTGGACAAGATGGGACAGACACTAGGAAAAGGAGAAAGGGGGAAATCAGGAATTGGCTGAGGGGAAGGCCTGCCGAAACATCAGTGTTTTTAACTGATTTTTAAAATACCCAGCGAGGGAGCTGCGCGAATGTCAGGGGGAAGGTTATTCCAGAGGCGAGGAGTCACCACTGAGAAGGCCCGATTTCTTGTCTTTTCTTTCCAGGCCTCCCTCGGCGTTAGGCTCCTCAGCCTCACCTCCTGGCTTGTGCGAGCCACACGGGTAGATCAGTAGCACCACAAACAAAATAACAACAGCAAAAAATTGAAACCACAGAAACAAAGCACGCTTGAGATACTTAAAAGATTTGGAAGACTTCACTGGTGGGGAGAGAATGACTATTAAGGTAGTCTAAATCTGTAGAGCAGTAGTTCCCAAATTAGGGTGAGCCAGGTGTTATTGGACGGCAACTCCCAGAAACCCTGACAAGCACAGCTGGTACTGAAGGCTTCTGGGAAATGCAGTCCTAGCACACCTGGATTACTTAAGGCTGAGAACCACTGCTGTAGAGCATATAATAACCCAAAAGAATGGGATGGTGAAGGGATGGGCCTTCTTACAGACCCCTTGTAGCTCAGTGGTACACTGGCTGGTCAGCAATCACTTCTTCACCAAGAAAAGATGAGGGAAAGACCTCTCTTGGTGCTGGGTTGACCACCTGCAGCTTCAGAATCAAGTAGAATGCTCTCCCACATTCCTACCCCTCCCCACAGCTAGTAGCCTCTACTGATTCTAGGTGCATTCACACATAAAAGCTACTTCAAATGCTGCTTTGTAGCAATTAATTCTGCAGGGTTGGCCTAGTGTGTTGTTGAAGTTACGCACAACTCAGGAGGATATATCCATTTTTATTTGCTAAGTATGTACAAGGAGAAATCTAGTCCAAGTACAGGATTAGGTCCCAACCAGCCACTTAATTGCTCAATAGTATGGAGAAACATAGAAACAGCCCAGCTACATGCTATATAAAAAATGTTCATTTCTGGAGATCCTCTGCTTGCAGAATTTCCAGTTCTTTGTTCTGTTGTACGCGTAGCCTTTCTGGTTGTGAAGTGTTATGTTCCTGAGTACCTCTAGAACTCGGTCAACCCAAAATCCCAAGTCCCCGTTGCTAATTATCTCCCTCTGTTGCTGTATCCACTCAAAAATGACTCTAAGGAAATTGATTTCAATAAGTTGTCTCTGAATCAGCAACCTTCTTTATTGTCTGTTTGAGCAAACTCTTTCTTATGAGTTCTTAAACACAATATTTTTAATAATGTTTTTTTTTCCAGTGTACTTTGCTTTTTATAAAAAACTGCAAGGCTAGCAACAGCTTCTGACAGGCCTTTTAGATGAGGAGAACACCATAGAAGGAAAAAGCCCTCTGTCCAGTACTTCTCACTGATCAATTCACAATACCTTCTAACAGTTTTAAAATACAATGAAGTAAATAAACAAAAAAATTGAGAGGTGAAAACACACTAGTACCTGCTTCTTGAAGGACCGGGCCCTTGTGAGGTATCCAAAGGATATCATAAGGGACAGGTTCAGACATGCTGAAACTCATAGCTAATGTCAAGTTTAAGTGGCCCCATAATGTTAAAAGAAATGTTTATTATTGTGACTTTGACGTGGGGATATTTAGAAGCTCCTCACAATCTGAAGCCCTAAATTGCAGCACTCTTAGTCAGTAGACAAATCTGGGCCTGGGCCTGACATAGCACTGAGTATATTTTAACCCCTCCTTTGCTTTTGGATGAGCGGCCTTGGGCTCGAGGCCATGGTGGCATTCTCTGTGACACTGATTAGGAGGGGGTATGAGGCCCTGTATTCATATCCACACTGATAACCTTCTACCCCACTGGTTATCAGATAACATGCTCCTAGCAACTACAGCAACTGCTGACATCCTCAAGTAATCTAAGGAAAGGAAAATATTTCATGTATTTTTAGCTTCTTTTAATGCAATTTGGCAGCTGAAAAACCAGGAGGCAAGCCAATACCATGTGACTGGTTAGCTCCCTGTAGACTACTTCCAACTGTTGTTTTGACTGCTCATTCAGCATGGCATCAACTGCACGTTGTCCCCAGTTCAGAACTCACTTGCCAATGTCATAAAAATGTAGCTCATTTTATACCTAGTACAGTGGAGCCTCGCTAGACAGTTAGCCCGCATGACAGTTTTTTCACTAGACATTGACTTTTTGCGATTGCTATAGCGATTAGCAAAACAGTGATTCCTAGGGGGGAATTTCGCCGGACAATGTTTGGTCCCTGCTTCGCAAACCAATTTTCGCTAGACAACGATTTTGACAGCTCCCTCCATGCTCACAAAATGGTTGTTTTCGGGACCTAAGCTTCGCAAGACAGCTATTTAAACAGCTGATCGGCGGTTCGCTTTCCTATGGCTGATCTTCGCTAGACAACGACGATTCTTCCCCATTGGAATGCATTAAACAGGTTTCAATGCATTCCAGTAGGGAAATGCTTTTCGCTAGACAATGATTTCGCTAAACAGCAATTTCAGTGGAACAGATTATCATCATCTAGCGAGGCACCACTGTATAAAATTTTTAAATGTTTTAGAGATAAAAGGTGGGTTTTTTTAACTTCCTGGGGAGATCAGGCTGTCTTGGCGTTTTCTAGTTGTAGTATAACATAAATCCACCTTCAAACTATGTAGAAAGAGAATTGTGTATTCCTTGCATTTAGCCCATTTTCCTCTCACAATTCCTTTTCCTTAGAGATAAGTGCCTTGGCCATCAGACTGTAAATTAAGCCTGTGTTTACTTTTCAATGACCAATCACAAAACAAAGCTTACTGGAATACAGAATATAAAAAGGAGGGAAAATGTGATATGACAGATCCAATGTCTGTCATCATTTAAGGATGCATTGCTTCTAACCTTACAATCTAGTCTGACCCTCAAAAACATGAAATACCTCAGAGTAATATGTTCTCTGTATACTTGTCTACATTGCTGATCCCTGAAACAGTCTTCCATTGCTTCTAAGGAGCTACTTGACTGAAAACACTGTCCAGAATCCTACTGCATATTCATGCCGGTGGAAGTGTAATTGTATAAATCATGACGGCGAGTTCCCGCTAGTTAACAAGTTGCTGCTCACATTCCTGGTTTTGTGTTAAGTTGTGGGATTGGCATGTGACTAGGAATGTGTACAGCAATTCGTTACTTAGTGGCAATTTGCTGCTGTCATTCATGCAATTGCACTTAACGCCAGTGAAAATACCCAGTAGGAATCTGGCCATTGAAAAACAAAAATGCCTGCACTAGAATCAGGATGGAAGCAGTGTTTGCTTCCTTGATCTTCAGGTCAAATGTGACAAGTGATATAGTTTGTGACTGATTTCTTTATGTTTAGATTGTTCTGTTTCTCACTGCCTGATTAACTGGAACACAACAGTTTCTGTGTTCTCTAGCAGGGCAAGCCTGATGCCAGTGTTGAATAGTGTTTTATAGGCCTTTTGACAGACTGAACTACTAACCAGTCCTTCCAAATAACCTGTAAGAATTAGGTGTTTCTTCCTAAAATGGCCTTTTCCTTTAGGAACATTAAAGCACAAAGGGGCCATTGCAAAATCTGGAAACTCCAGTCATTTTG